TTCGGCGCCCTAGAGCTCCAGTATTTGATGTCATCCTACCCATCCCCGCCGATATCAACGAGATGAATAAATAACAATCAGTGTCCTGTGAATTTATCGCCCGGAGCAGCCCGCATCACCATTGCCCACTCTGAAATAAGCCTCCGGCCTGTATGTAAGTATATACAATATAATATATAATAATATATATATGAGAGTAAAAATAAAATGACTCCTTCGCTGCAGCGTATGCGTATATACACGGTTCCACCCATTTCGGCGCTATAAATCTTGAACGGGTTTCGCAGTATTAATAAACGGCTGTTTACTCTAAATGTCTTGTGCTGTGTGCGCAACGAGTATATAATATATATATATATATAAATATAGTACTATATATAATATAATACAATATAATAGCTGAAAGAAGAATAATATAATATATTATTTTTAATTTTAAACAAACAAAAGAATTAAAAACGACGCTATTCAGCAAAAAAGAAAAGAGAGAACAGTATGTATATAATATACTATATTTCAATAGCAATGTTAATGGCTTGATTTCMATGAGTCTGCTCAACCCACTCAAATAAAGCCAGATAAAAATGACTATGTATATAGTATATATACGAACACATTAGAAACAGCGTTGGATCTACGCGTCACCCCCCCCTCCCACCACAGGTGGGCTAAAAAATAAATATGTTACGATCGTCGACGAAGAAATAACATTTTGATTTATAAAAAAAAAATTTTAATTTAAATATTGTAATGTATTAGCGTTTATGTAATATTATATCTAATATTATAATAATATATGTATATTATTATCTTCTCAATTCCGAATTGTTCCACCAACTGCAGTCATAATAAATAATAATCCAATATTTCGCGTGATGATGCACATATAGAGCTAATGAACATCCATAATTTCTTACTTAATCTAAATCTTATTATTATAATTTTTACAATTTTTTAATTTTTTTTTTGTTGTATTAAATTAGAAATTGATCTATTTAAAAGTAGGTAAATTAAAAATTAATGTACCTACTCATAAAATGTGTTGGGCTCTGCTCGTAATGTTTGAAATAAATAAATAAATAAATATAATTAAAAATCTTTTTATCCCTGTGCCCACCCACTAGAAGACCTTAAACCCACCACTAAATAGAAAATAAGGATTCAAAACTCAATTACTTCATGACCCACAATTAACTATATTATAGCGTTCTATTTTGTGAGTGGATGCAGAGGGACGGAGTACTCCAACTAATAATTTTTCAGAAATTTTAGGAT